ATGAGGGGGAATGGGTAAAGCTTTCTATACACACAACATTAAGCCCATGATAGTCGATGCATAGACAAAAGGACCCGTCCTTTTCCCTAAATACTACTGGGGCAGCCACCCTCTGTCTGGCAGGTTGGATGAATCCATACTTCAGATTTTTGTCTATAAAAATCTGCAATTCCTCCAATTTCCTAAGTATCATGGAATACGATTTTTGTTTAGGCAGTTTGGCCCCCGGTACGATTTCTATGGAACAGTCAGTTGGCCAGTGGGGTGAGAGTGTGTCTGATCCCTTCTCATTGAAGACATAAGTCCCAGTATTTCTTGGGAATCCAAGGGTCACCCTGGGGCTGATCTTTGGCAGCTACTCCCACCTCCCCTTTCGGTTTCACCTGCTGCAGCTTCAGGGTAAGTTTTTGACAGCCCTTTCCCCCTCCCCTTTCACAGCCAGCAAGCCGGGTTTTTAGCAACCCCCGGGGGTTCCATTTCTGGAACCAAGACAGTCCTAACACAAGGGGCCTTTCTATTCCAGGGGCTACGATGAAGCTCAGTGTCTCCGTGTGTGCGCCTATCCTCATTGCAATTGGTTCAGTAACAAATGTTGCTCCCCCCATCACTGAGCCATCCAGCTGCCAAAAAGCTATGGGCATTTTAAGCTGTTTGAGTCTCGTGCCCAGTTTCTTGACTAGGGCAGGGATGACCAGGCATCTGGTACACCTCAAGTCCAATAGGAATACTAGGCTCCCTTTCACCCTGAGGATTGAACCACCAATTCTATAGGGATGATCACTGGGTTGACCGGGCAACTTACCAAGGGATCATCATTGTAGTCTGACTTGCTTTTCACTGGACTGCCAACCAGGTCAGTCAGAGTTCTCCTGCCCTCTTTGGGGGATGGCGTGAACCAGTGGTGGAATTCAATTTTTTTTACTACTGGTTCTGTGAGTGTGGCTTGGTGGGCATGGCAGGGGAAGGATACTGCAAAAACTCCATTCCCACCCCACTCCAGGGGAAGGATACTGCAAAATCTCCATTCCCACCCCACTCCTGGAGGAAGGATACTGCAAAATCTCCATTCTCACCACACTCTGGGGCCAGCCAGAGGTGGTATTTGCCAGTTCTCCGAACTACTCAAAATTTCACTGTTCTGGTTTTGCTGGTTTTTTAGCAGGATCCAGAGTCACCTTCTGGGCTGGGCTTGCATCTCAGTAGTTGGCAGCTCGGTGCCCCTTCTTCCGACATCTGAAGCTGCCAGTGAATCATCCGCATGAGTTCTGTTCACATAATGCCAGTTTTGGGGTCTCTTTTTTTCGGAGGGGGGGACGACTTCACCATCCATGGCTTGGGTAGTATTTAGATCGAGCCAGGTCAATTTTCACTTCCTCTGCTAGGACATACCAGCCATGAAGGGTATATAGGGGGTGCCTCTAGGAATGCAGATGTTGTAGACCTTCTCACTTAGCCCATTTTGGAAACATCCAATCAAGATGTCTTCTAGCCAGTCAGTCAGTCGGCAGACCAAGTCGCAAAAGACTTGGGTGTACACGGCCATGCCCCTGTGCCCTTGGCTGAGATCTTTATGCGACTTCTGGCTTTGCAATCGGCTAGTGGGTCTTTGAAGCACTTCTGAAGTGCAGCCATGAAGTGGTCAAAGTTTCTCACCTCCGGGCATCATCATTGTAGATAATGACCATCCATTCAGCTGTGGCCTCATCTAACACCATGGTCACGCACTGCACCTTAGCCCCTTTGGTGGCTATTTCTGGGCCAGACTCCTGCACATATATCCAAACTTCTGCCAGGAAGAACCCCAATTGCTTGGGGTCTCCGTTGAACTTTACTACCAGGGCTGATGCCTTGCATCCTCTCTGCCTTGCTGATGCTGCTCCTGCAGCCAGTGGAGGCTGAGCTGTGGGACCATGTGCTGGGGGGGTTGCAGTTGCTTAGGAGCTTGCTGTTGCTGCCATTGTGGTGGCAGAGGTAGTTTCCCTCTCACTTGCCATGGCTGGAGTCAGCAGGTCAGCAAGATGTGCCACTCAGGCTAGGCTTCTTGAGCTTTGAAACTACCAAAAAACCCCTCTGGAACTTTATGGCTTGCTCCAACATCCAGTCCTCTCGTTCTGGCTCCCCTGCACTCAATTCTTCCTCCAGTTCCCCCAGCTCCAGTCGGGTCTCTCACCGGTGGCCCGCAGAGCCCCCATGGGTGAATGTAACTCCCATGGGGTACTCTTCCCATTCTTCCTTTTTCCTGACCCCAAGGGACCATTGGGATCTTGGTGAGTCATCCACTCCCAGCCATCTGGATAGATCTAGCCCTCCAGGATGAGGTTTTGAGGATGCTTCCCCCCAGGCCAACATCTTTTCCTGGTCGCTCCTTGAACCAACATCATTTGCATGGTCCTCATGGTAGAAGCAGTTTCCTCTCCAGATTGACCACAACTGCAGAGCTGGCTTAATGTCAGATCTGCCCCAATCCGATCCCTTAGGAAAGAAAAGCCTTCGACTCCATTTGGTTAAAGCACAGGGTTCTTTTACTGTTGGTTGCAATAAAGTCAAGCCAGATCTGAAATTTACTGCTCTTGCTAGATAACAAAAATAAGGTGTAGGTTTGCTTCCAGCCCATCCCTCCTCCTGTGACCAGTCTGTTTCCAGCCAATTGGAGCTCCCCAAGATATTTTGAGAACTCTGAGATGTTGGGGGATAATCTGCATATTTCTCATGGTAACTGGCCATGGGATGCTGGTACAAACAGGATCCAGCTGTCCTGGTCCATATCACCTGTCATTTCCCCCATTCCGATTTTCTATCACATATACACAAAGCTTTATTGCCCTTTCATCCTTTACCCTTTCTACTTTCGATGGCAGGATGCCTATGAGGCCCCAAGCTGAGCTAGGCAGAGCTGACACCATCCATCCAACTTCCAAATATCCTTAAAACAGGATCCAGTGCAAAACTTTTCAAATCTAACTTGTTAATATTAAGCATATGGTTTCTAAGTCAAAAAGAACCCCCTTAATTTAAACATATTTTTGGTTGTTTTTTCTTAAGTTGACCATTTCTGCCATCTTGTGGTGGGCTGAATTGTTTGCAAGTTGTAGTTAAAGAAATTCAGATGAAAGAAAAGTTAACCATGCTGTATTATTTTGAAAAGCAACACATATTTGTAAAATATAGAATGGGAAACAGCATTAGCAAAAATCTCTCTTTGAAATTAACTGGATTTTCTTGGTCAAAAGAAAAAGAACAATGCATGCCATATTTTTTTGTAAACTATAAGAAACATGTCACAGTCACAAACTTAAAAGTTTTGTGTATTTCAGAATCTAAGTTCATAGTTGTAAGAAATCTAAATTAATCAAATTTCAGTTTATCATATGCTTAACTATTTCTTAACAGATGTATATTTAATTTAGAGTAAAGCTATTACAGAAAACTAACCTATGTATATGTAAATATTTCCATACATATTACTATGGGACTTCAGTTGTGTTTGGTTTACTTCTCTTTTAAATATAGGAAAGATGGACATTATGAAATTTCATTCTGACTTGAAATGCAAGTAACAATTCCTAGTTCTGCAATTAACAAATAATATGGGTAAAGGTAGTTCTCGACTTACAACAGTTTGTTTACTGACTGTTCAAAGTTACAACAGCACTGAAACGAAGAGTCTCATGATTGTTTTTCACATTTATGATCATTGCAGCACCCCAATGGACACATGATCAAAATTCAGATGCTTGGCAACTGGCTTATATATATGACTTGCAATCATCATAAATATTGAGCTAGTTGCCAAGCATCTATGCTTGGCAACTATGAATTTTGATCATATGATCACCTTTTTGTGGCATTCTGGCAAGCAAAGTCAATGGGGAAGCCAGATTCACTTAACAACCATGTTACTAACTTAACAACTACAATGATTCACTTAACAACTATGGCAAGAAAGATTGTAAAATGGGGCAAAACTCATTCAACAACTATCTTGCTTAGCAATGGAAATTTTGGGCTTAATTGTGGTCATAAATCAAGGACTACCTATACTACCAATACAGCATCTGCAGAAGCAAATATCCCATAAAAGTGCCTGGCCCTTAAATCTTGTAAGACTTGCACTGGGAAGAAACTGCCCTAAGAAAATGAAATCACACTAAGAGGAGAACATTAGTTTCTGCCTTATGATAAAAATTAGCAGTAGAAAGGTGCCAGAATGTTATAGGGTAAAACAAATAAATATGTCAATATGTATTTGGGGCTTGGGTTGGGAGGAAGGATAAGTGTGATCTTGAAGAAGGGAAGGGAAATTTACATCCTATGTAGTGTATGTGCTAGTTTTGTTGCAGGGATTATTGTGGATTCTTATGGTTGGGATAAGTGGTAGCTGTGTGAAAGAAGATGTGTGATTTTTCTGAAGGGAAAGACAAGTCAAGTCATACTTATTATACTAGGAAGACTGAATGCTGCATTATAATGAAAACACACTGGTTTCAACAGCTGTAGAAAAAACAGTTGGAACTGTATAAAAATTCATAAAGATGACCAATACAGGTAGTTTTCAATTTACAACAGTTCATTTAGTGACCAAAGTTACAACAGTACTGAAAAAAAAGACTTATGACTATTTTTCACACTTATGACCGTTGCAGCATCCCCATGGTCATGTGATTGACATTCAAATGCTTGACACCTAGTTCATATTTATGATGGTTGCACTGTCCTGGGGTCATGTGATAATCTTTTGTGACCTTCTGACAAGCAAAGTCAATGGGGAAACCAGATTCACTTAACAACCGCGTTACTAATTTAACACAGTTAAATTAGTGCAGTGATTCACTTAACAAATGTGGCAAGAAAATGAGCAAAACTCACTTAACAAATTTCTCATTTAGCAATCTAAATTCTGGGCTCAATTATGGTTGTAAGTCAAGGATTACCTGTATTTAGTCTGGTAAAATGGCTAGTAGAAAAAGAAATTATTTTAAAAAATATTGATCCATACTTACAGAATGGATTAGTGGTCCCAACACAAGGCTACTATCAACACATCTTCCAATCACCACAATATCTGCTCCTTGATCAAGAGCTTTGCTGATTGGTGTTGCGCTGAAGAAACAATTTAGACTTAGACTTAGAATAACTTTGTCATTTTAAATGTACACTAATTGGCATACGTTAAAATGAAATTTTGTTGCATACAGCTCTCAAAGGGTCACCACCTCCAATAAACACTATATAAACATGACAAAATAAAGAAAAAAGTATGATTATACCCACATACCATCATATATTATATGACATATAGAAACAACACAGTCTAGTTCAGACGTATACATGTACATAGTGAGAAAAATGAATCTTGCGAGTTTACCAGATGGATGGCATAGGGAACAAAGCTGTTACAGAATCTGATAGTGTTATAGAATCTGCTAGAAATACTTCGAAACCTCCTCCCAGAGGGGAACAAGAGAAACAGATCATAAAGTGGGTATGTGGGATCTCTAACAATGCTTCGAGCTCTAAGCACATAGCACTTATAAGCAGTATTCAGGATACTTATAAGCTTATACTGCTTATAAGTAGTATCCTGAATACTGCTTATAGGAATATAGGAAGTGAGTTTCCTATAATTTTCTCAGTTGTCTTTCCAACTCTGAATGGACCTTCTATCTGAGGCACTGCCACCACCAAGCCAAACAGTGATGAAATTCAATTCCAAACGCTCTCAATCATGCCTCTGTAAAAAATGGTCAGGACAGAAGGAGAAAGATGTGCTCTTCTCATCCGACGCAGGAAATGCAGATGCTGGTTTGCATGCTTCACTAAGGATGATGTGTGGAGAGACCAAATCAGATTGCTATATTACTCATTAAAATTTTAGATAGCCTGACTGATTCTAGTGCCAAAAATTAAAAAAAATACTGCAGTTTCTAGTTGCTGTAGTGAGAACATTGGCAAAACAAATACAGTAAAGGGTTCTTCTCCAGGATACAGCTTTGCAAATGCAAAAGCTTTCCCTACTGGGCAATCTTCATTTACAAGGTAAAACATCCAGTCATTCAGCCAGGACAGGACAAAAAAGGAGCAATCATGAGTCATCTACATGCTTTGTCTAAGGAAAAAAAGTCTTATTTTTAAACTTCAAGTATCAAATGGATGGAAGAACTGAAGAAAGCAAGCCAAACCAACCAATACACATACTTCTTTGCAACAAATGGCACTAGGGACTGTGACAAAAATTCATAAGGCTGTGAACAGACCATGCAGACACACTAGAGTTCAATAATCAGCCCAATCATCATAACTTTTTTGTATTTCAAGCAAACCTTGGACAGCACCAACAGGACTAAATATCTAAAGTGAGTGTGTTAAATGCTTCAGAAAGGGTGACTTTATAGATGATAATCAAGCAAGCTGTATTAAAAAAATATTTAATCAAATATCTCTAGTTTTCTCAAAATGTCTATCACAGTATATATTTCTTCTTTTCAGTTTGATTATTATAGCATTACTACTTAGTGTCTGTGCAAAATTTGTAGTGAATATATCATAGTTCCTTGCTCTTTACACTGGAGATTGCATGCATTTCATTAAGTAATACCTCACAAATTAAAACAATATAGAATATATTTTTTAACTGGCTCAAAAATTAAAAGTATCTATCCAGTGCAATAATTTTCTTACTTTCTTCTCCTACATGTGGGAACCAATGACACAACAATGAACCTGAAAACAATAACAAGAGATTACGAACAGCTAGGGAAGAAAGGTAAAGAATTAGGAGCACAAGTGGTATTTTCATCTATACTTCCAACAAAAGGCCAACATCCAACAAGGGAGCAAAGGATTTTAGAAAAGAACCACTGGCTTAAAAACTGGTGTGGTCAACAAAACTTCACCTTCCTAAACCATGGTCTACATTACCTAGATTGGGGCTGTCAAACTCCTGGCCCATGGGCTGGATGCTTCATATGCTGGCCACGCCCATGCCCAGTTTAGCGAAGGGGAAAAAAGTCCCGATATGTCACATGATTCCACCGTGATGAAGTGAGCTTGAAGTGACCTAGATGAAGGGTTACTGGCAAGGGATGGACTGCACCTCACAAGAACTGGAAACAATATAATCAGAACACAACTGGCTCATCTTATTAAAAAGGCTTTAAACTAAAATTGAGGGGGGGGCAGTCTTCACAACCTACAGAACCTAATTCCAAGTAAAAACCACTAGATAGATTAGATAGATTAACCCACTAGATAGGTTAGATTATTGCAACGCGCTCTACATGGGGCTACCCTTGAAAAGTGTTCGGAGACTACAGTTGGTCCAGAACGCAGCCGTGCGAGCTGTAGTGGATGCACCTAGGTACACCCACATTACACCAATTCTCTGCAAGCTGCATTGGCTCCCTATTGGTCTCGGTCACAATTCAAGGTGTTGGTTATTACCTTTAAAGCCCTACGTGGTTTAGGGCCAGGGTATCTTCGAGACCGCCTTCTACCGCATAACTCCCAATAACTGGTAAGATCCCACGGAGTTGGTCTCCTCTGGGTCCCATCAGCTAAACAATGCCGGCTGGTGGGCCCACGGGGGAGGGCCTTCTCTGTGGCTGCCCCAGCTCTCTCGAACCAGTTACCTCCTGAGGTCCGGACCATCCCCACCCTATTGGCCTTCCAAAAAGCGGTGAAAACCTGGCTTTCCGGCAGGCCTGGGGCCATTGATCTCGCTCTTGCGATCCGGCGAGATCTGGCCATGAATGGTGTGAATGAGTTTTAATGTTTTTAATTTTTAAATGTTTTTATAATGATCTTAAATGCATTGTGAGCCACCCTGAGTCTTTGGAGAGGGGCGGCATACAAATTGAATTAATAATAATAATAATAATAATAATAATAATAATAATAATAATAATAAACAATCACATAAGGAGGAAGCAAAGAGAAAAAAGAAATTAAAAAAAAAGAAAAACATAATGAAATAGAGTGATGGAAAGGATGTAAAATCCCAGTTACAAAGTAGGATATATAAGAAACATACTCAAGACCAACAAAGGACTCAAATGCCTATACATTAATGCTCAAAGTTTAGGGAACAAACAGGGTGAACTTGAAATATTAGTACATGAAGACAGGTATGATATAGTCGCCATTATTGAAACTTGGTGGGATGAAACTCCTCACTGGGATATACTGATAGAAGGATACAAACTATTCAAAAGAAACAGACCTAACAAAAGAGGACGTGGAGTTGCATTATATATAAAAGATAACTACATCTCTACAGAAATGCACAAAACCAAGGATGAAAACCTCCTAGAATCCATATGGGTCAATATAAAAAGGGTAGGGGGAAATGACATTGCTATAGGCATATACTGCAGGCCACCCAACCAAGTAGAAGAAATATATCAACTCTTTGCTAACCAATTAACAAATGTATGTAGGCAACATAGAACAATAATAATGGGAGACTTTAACTACCCTGATATCAACTGGGAGACAAACTCTGCAACAAGTGGGAGAACGAACAGATTCCTAACCAATTTAATTGACAACTTTGTCATCCAAAAGGCAGACGAATGAACTAGAGGAAAAACTATACTGGATCTAATTCTTACTAATAGAGAAGAAGTTATAGAGGGAGTTGAAGTTGCTGGAACCTTGGGTGAGAGTGACCACATCATACTGGAATTCAATATACCGTATTTTTCGGAGTATAAGACGCACCTTTTTACCCCCCAAAAGGGGGTGAAAATTTAGGTGCATCTTATACACCGAATGTAGCCCTGCCCACCCACTGGCCCCCACCCTTTGGCCTGTGCCTCGCAGCAGTTACCTTCTTGCAAGCAAACAGCAAGAAAAAACAGACCCTTTCAGCTTCAGCACAGCCTCTAATTAGCACAAGTTGATTAGATCGGCCTCCCGACTCTCCACTGATTTGCTCTCAGCTGTTTTGCGCAGGACTCTGCTGCTAGCTCCAAAGAGTGCTGGAGCAGATTTTTTTCCCCAGCTATGCTGAAAAAACGAAACTGAAAGTAAAGCAGGCTCTTTGCTGCAATGTGACAAAATGAGGCAGGGAGAGATTTCTTTTTCTTTTTGCTCACCAAAAAAGGTAGGTGCAAACAATGGGAAATTTAGGGCAAAAGAGGAGAGTTCAAGATTTTAAAACACAAAAGAAAAAAAGCTCTATTTAAGTAGGGAATTGTAATAATTGAGTTACTATTAATTGTATATTGTGTTGAAAGCAGAAATGGTTAAGTTGTGGTTTGGAGGAATATATGGGGGAAATTATTTGGTTTATTATTATTGGTAAATATAATTAATTGATTTGTAAGAAATTGGATTGCATGGAAATAATTGGAATATTCATGTTCATATTGATTAATATACAAAAAAGGTAGTTATATAACTAATTGATTTATATTAAAATGTTGAATTTTGTGACGATATGGGGTTGAGGGGTACCCCGGACCGTGAACCAGCTCATGAGTAAACACACTGAGACTGAAATGATTCTGACAGAGGCGTCTTGTGTAAAAATATAATTTACTTTAAAACATTTAAAAAGCACTATGTCTTTAAGAAAACACATTAAAAGCAAAGTCTTATCTGGGTATGTGAAACAAGGCTATCTCCCTAGATCCCTCTCCACAATACCGAAAACAGTTCACAAAAGAATAAAGCTAGCATGAAGGTAAGCAGCTTCGGCGTCGATACATCATCAAGGCCATCATGGTGGGAGCAGCACAAGCTTCACAGCTGAAAGTCACCTGAAGTAAAAACAGTTCAAAAAGCAAACATTGCTTGAAGCTTGTGGGAGGAAGAAGGTCCAGCAACAGCAGTCCCGATGATAGCTTGCGTGCTACAAAACAGCAAAAGGCAAGCATCCGTGGGAGTCTCTCTGTAGCGGCGTCTGGAGTCCTTATCTGCATTCTTCTCCCATCTGCGGCGTTGCAACAAGCTTCCTGCAGGAGCTGTGCATTTAGGCCTAGATCAGACTAGGCCCAAGTAGCAAGCAAAAGGTCCTTGCTTATATAGGGAGTTAACCTGCAATTAACTAGGGCGGGGAAGGCTTGCAGGTAATTGCCAACAGCAGATGGCTTGATTAA